TTTTATTAATCCAAGGTCTGGTATGAAGATGGAATATATCGATGCACCCAGAAAGGGTCAAAATTTTGAATATCCATGAACCAAATATAACGCGAAATTAACATCCGATTCCATTCAGACCTGGCCCATCTCAATATTTCTGTCAGCACAAGATTTATTATAAATATGCTAGAGATTGGACCATTCCTTCTGGTACCTCACCCATAAAGGGTCAGTGTGTTGAATAACCCAAACCAATAGAAAATCCGCCACATGCATCCGGTTCCCTTCATTTTTCACATATCGCATTAATTCTACTAACACAAGATATGCTGTGAAGATGATATATATCTGCTAGCACCTTCTGGTACCTCCTCCACAAAGGGTCAAAATTTGGAATATCTGAATGGAATCGTATGTTAATTTCGCGTTTTATGAATTTAAACGCGAAATTAACATCCGATTCCATTCAGACTTAGTACATCTCAATATTTCCATCAACACAAGATCTGTTGTAAAGGTGCTAGATATCGGACCATTTCATGGGGTTCAAAGTTTAAAAAAAAATAACAACGTTCAAAGAAAGCAAGGTAAGCATCCAACGTTCTTCAAATTTCACCCAGACAAACTTTTTTTCAAACACAAGATCTTTGTGTGTTTTTTTTTAAATCAATTAATATAAGTTGTAAAATCAAATTGTGTACAAAATATCAAAAATAGTTTTTTTTCGAATTTTCGAAACTCTCCCTGTCCACAAAAGTTTAATTTACGAGATAACAATATTAATGATATCAGCTGAGAGCAGCTATTGTAGATGAAATGTACGAATGATTTTATTATTAAGTATATTTATTTTCATAACCTCCACCATACATTGGAAGGTATATTAAATTTGTCATTCCGTTTGCAACATCACGAAATATTCGTCGGAGGCACCAAAAAGTATAATATATACCGGGTGGGATAAAAAAACTGCAACAAAGTCAATCGCCATTATTTTTACATTTTTTTTTAATTTTATTGAATGAAAGCAAAAAATGTCGGAAATAACATCAAATTTTAGAACAATTTAAAATTTTTCGGATTGGTCACCTTTGGCACGAATTATGGCCATCAAACGGGCAATGAAATAGTCACATGCTGCCCGAATGTTGCTCTGCGGTATTTTGGCCCTTTCCAGGCGAAGTGCTTGCTTGAGGTGATCGATACTTTGGTATTTTTTAGTGCCAACCTTGCTTTCCAAAATACTGCAGACAGAATAGTCCAACGGATTGGTATCCGGAGATTTTGGTGGCATTGTGCGCTGATAATGAAGCGAGAAACCTCATTTTGTAACCATTCTGAGTTTGAGTCCTTTTGGAAGGTTTAAGTTTTAATATACCCTCCAGAATACTTTCGCGATAATATTTGGCATTTATTCTGATGCCACGGTCGATTAATATGAGCGGAGAGCGACCATCGGCTGTTATGGCGGCCCACACCATCCATCATCGAACGAATTGAAATAGAAGGCTAGAATTTTGCACACATATTTTTTTTTCTCCAGTAGGCATGTTAAGTTCATAAATGGGCCATGTAGGTCCACGTTTTCATAAAGCCCCCATATAATGGTACCTGGTCCCGATATTCGGTATTTTGATGATTTTAGCGACATTATTTAACGGAATTGTTTCAAATTTGGTATTTTAAGTTCGAAATGGATACCACAGCCTAAGACAGAAAATTGTCTGTGCAGGTCCACGTCTTCGTATAGCCCCCTTATAACGGTACCTCCCTATATATTCGATATTTTGATGATTTTAGCGTCATTATTCATCAGAATTGTTTCAAATTACATATTTAGAGTTCGTAATGGGAACTACAGTCAGTGACAGAAAATTGTCTATACAGGTCAAGGTCTTCGTATAGACCCCATACATCAGTACCTCCCGATATTCGGTATTTTTATGGTTTTAGGAACAATACCCACCGAAATTGTTTGAGTTGTTGTATGTATGAAGTTCGTATTGGATGCTCCAGCCTGTGACAGAAAATTGTGTATGCTGGTCGAGGTCTTCGCACAGCTCCAATATAACGGTACCTCCCTATATGCTATATTTTGATGATTTTAGCTTCACCGTTTTTTTCAAGTTTCGAATTTGAATATGGTAATGGCTTATGACAAAGAATGCATATGTAGGTCCACGTCGTATAGACAACAATATAACGGCTATATTCGGTATTTTTAAAATTTTAACAGAATTTTTTAAGGATTTTATTTTTTGAAAATTTCCAAATTTTTTCCAATGGTGGAGGGTATTCAAAGTTCGACCCTGCCGAACTTACTGCCTTTTAACTTGTTGGAATTTCAATGGATTTACCCCGAGCTCATTTTTCAATATTTGCCGAATGGAATATTGCGATATGTTCAGCTCACGAGCCATTTTTGGGCCACTGCGACGCGGGTTTCGATGAAGTAGCTTCTTTAGTTTTCGAACAATTTCTGCTGATGTTCCTGCTTTCCGTCTGTCTTCCGTGCACTTTCTTTACGTCGGGTTACGCTACCAGTATCACGGTAACGAGCGATGGTACGAGACACAAAATATTTATTCACATTTAAATGCTGGAGTGCCCTAACGATAGCCACTTGTGGCTTTCCAGCCAAATATAAAGAAATCACACTATCTCGCTTGAATTCCATGACGAATAACTTTTTTTCTGGAAAATTCTCACCAAAATGCTTTTGTATGCTTGTATACAATATAATGAGCTGTCACTGGAATAATTTTAACAGCTGTCGGACAAGTGGCTTAGAAATGATAGCAGTCTGAAGCTGGTTGCAGTTTTTTCATCTCACCCTGTATATTGGAGCTATATCGAAATCTTAGCCGTTCTCGATAAAATTTGACAAAGGTATTTCCGAGCTCTATAAGATATCTGACACCAAATATCATTGTTGTCGAATGCATGTTACGAATGTGAGGGATTTAAACAACAAATCGGATGAAACATATATATGAGAGCTATAACTATATCTGAACCGATTTTTACCAAATTTAATGTACCTTCTGAGTTTTGCCTTGTCCTTCTTCTGGACTGAATTCTGTCAGATATGCCGAAATTCAGTTCATTTGGACTGACATTGGCTATTTGGTGTACAACTAATCCGCAATCAGCTGAAGATATTTATGGGAGCTATATCCAAATATAAACCAATCTTGATACTAATTGGCAGAGGTATTTCTGGGATGTCTCTAAAATTTGATACAAAACATCATTCTTCAGGGGTGCGTATTACGAATGTGGTGGATAAAACCTATATATGGGAGCTATAACTATACCTGGACCGATTTTCATTAAATTTTATATACTTACTAAATCTAGTCGGAATTGCCAAAATTCAGGTCATTTGGACTGATATTGGCCATTTTGTGCACAACTAACCCGAAATCGGTTGAAGATAAATATGGGAGATATATCTAAATCTGATCCAATTATCACCAATTCGTCTCTCTGCACAAAATATTGGCTACCTTCCCATATTCGGTATTTCGCTGAATTTCGCCTCATCATTCACCGGCATTTTTTAAAATTGCGTATTTGAAGTTTGTTATGGGTACAACAGTCTATGACAGAAAATAGCCTATGCAGGTCCACATTTTTGTATAGCTCCCATACGACCGTACTTACCTATATTCGGTACCTTTATGATTTCTGCGGTATTTTTCGATTGATTTTTTTTTATTGGTAGAGGGTATTAAAAGTTCGGTCCGGCCGATCTTAGCTGCTTGTTTACTTGTTAGTCTTAAGAAGATAAGCATTATTTAACCCATGTCGGACCGCTGAACGTGTTTTGGTATAGAAACATTTGCTTTTAACATGCTAAGGGATAAAGGTACACCTATAGTTATTTTTGGTGATCGGTTTAGAATCACATAAAGAGTCCATGTTTTATACCCTCCACCAAAAAAAGTATGGAGTGTATATTAAATTCGTCATTCCGTTTGTAACTCATCGAAATAATCATTTTAGACCCAACAAAGTGTATATATTCTTGATCAGCGTAAAATTCTAAGACGATTTAGCCCTGTCCGTCCGTCTGTCCGTCTGTTGTAATCACGCTACAGTCTAAACGAATTAAGATAGGAAGCTAAAATTTTTCACAGATCTCTCTTTTATCTGCAGGCAGGTCAAGTTCGAAGATGGGCTATATCGGTCCACGATATCGTATAGCCCCCATATAACGGTACCCCCGATATTCGGTATTTTGATGATTTTACCCACATTTTTCAACGGAATTGTCTGAAAATCCAAACAAGGAATTCCTTGCGGGTACTTTATACCTCGGCAGAGAATTATTTATATAGGTCCACGATATCGTATAGCCCCCATATAACGGTACCCCCGATATTTGGTATTTTGATGATTTTATCCACATTTTTCAATGGAATTGTCTAAAAATCCACAAAAGGAGTCCCCTGTGGGCATTTTACCCCCTCAAAAAGAATTGTCTATATAGGTCCACGATATCATATATCCCCCATATAACTGAACCCCCCGATATTCGGTATTTTGATGATTTTAGCCATTTTTTCCAATGGAATTATCTGAAAATCCACACAAGGAGTAAGTACTTTACACGCAGACATCGATTTGTCTTTATAGGTCCACAATATCGTATATCCCCCCATATATCGGCACCTTCCTATATTAGATATTTTAAAGATTTTAAAAGAATTTTTAGTGGATTTTATTTTTTTGAAAATTTTCTAATTCGTTCCAAATGATGGAGGGTATTCAAAGTTCGTCCGGGCCGAACTTACTGCTTTTTTACTTGTTGTAATTAAATTACTGGTCGAATTAAATTTCCAAAGCCATAGCCTTCTGAAAGTCATAATATACATTCCGTAACAATGGACCGAGGTGTTTAACGAAATGACCAATATGGATTTTCAAAATTTTAAAATATTCCACAATGGGTTAACACAAAATATTTTTCCTCTGTTTCCATAGCATCAATTCCTCAATTTGAACATCTTCAGAAGCAAATCATTTCATCGTTGACTTTTCAGCTGATAACTTGTCGATTAAAAGAAATACATGGATTTCAAAATATTTTCACTATTAACTCTAATTTTTTGTTCTTATTCTGTGACACATGTCTCGTGCGATTGCTATATTACACTCGATCAAAATGAGTCGCTGAGGCCGAAATTGTACAGAAATATCGGCACTCGTAAAGCTTTAGTCCATACCGAAAGTCTTTCCTATCGACTCAATGAAAATGAAGTGATAACGGTCGATTGTGAAACACGTGTTCTAAGGTAAGAGTTTGGGGATGGTGAAATGACGACTGCAAAAAAAAAAAGAAAAAAGAAAAAAAACGAAACAATTCTATTATCTTACAGACCCTCCCAATTCGCCGGCAAACGTAGCATCAATTGCAAATGTAGTGGGAATTACATTTATATAGATAATCATAACTTCAATTCACATTTTCTGATTTGGTGCGATGCTGTAAAATGGAATCTATACGAATCCTCAAAACCATTTAGCTGGTGTCCCAAACCCCTGGCATCCTACTTATTGGCGAGACCTCTGAATAAAATCTATGAATATTTAGCTGCTGTTTGTTACAACTTTGACCAGCAACAAATCTTGAATTTACATTATGCTGCGGAATATCAGACGTCGCTATATTTGGTAAGTTACAGATCAGTTTCAAACCCAATGTGTTGGGAATTAATTCTATAAAAACAGACTTATTTCTATTGGGGTATTTTTTCCATGAAAAACCAATCAGCCCCAGTTCCATTGACTAATTTTTCTATTGGGGAAAATCAGCACCAGTCCCGATGGGCTATTTTTTTCTATAGAAAAAAATCAGCCCCAGTTCCGCTGGGCTATTTTTTTCTATAGAAAAAAAAATCAGCCCCAGTTCCGCTGGGCTATTTTTTTCTATAGAAAAAAAATCAGCCCCAGTTCCGCCGGGCTATTTTTTTTTCTATAGAAAAAAAAATCAGCCCCCAGTTCCGCTGGGCTATTTTTTCTATAGAAAAAAAAAAATCAGCCCCCAGTTCCGCTGGGCTATTTTTTTTCTATAGAAAAAAAAGTCAGCCCCCAGTTCCGCTGGGCTATTTTTTTCTATAGAAAAAAAAATTCAGCTCCCATTTCAGCTGGGCTATTTTTTTTCTATAGAAAAAAATTTAGCCCCCATTTCCGCTGGGCTATTTTTTTTTCTATAGAAAAAAATCAGCCCCAGTTCCGCTGGGATATTTTTTTTTCTATAGAAAAAAATCAGCCACAGTTCCGCTGGGATATTTTTTTTTCTATAGAAAAAATTCAGCCTTAGTTCCGCTGGGATATTTTTTTTCTACAGAAAAAATTCAGCCCCAGTTCCGCTGGGCTATATTTTCTATAGAAAAAAATCAGCCCCAGTTCTGCTGGGCTATTCCGCGGGGCTATTTTTTCTATAGAAAAACAAATTGTGCATTTGTTTTTAACAAGAGCTAGATAGACCCATAGCTACTTTTGAGGATATTCATAGAATCACTTTCTGAGTCGATTTATGCATGTCAGTCCGGCTGTCCGTCCGTCCGTCTATCCATGTATTTTTGTAAACAAACTGCAGGTAGCATTTATTATTCGAATTGGTGATAATCGGATCAGATTTAGATATAGCTTTCATAGTTATCTTCAACCGATTTCGGGTCAATAGTGCACCAAGTGGCCAATATCAGTCCAAATGACCTGGATTTAATCTAGAAGAAGGTACATCAAATTTATTGAAAATCTGTTCAGATATATCTTTAGCTCCCATATATATGTTTCATCCGATATGGTGTTTAAATCCTTCACGTGCGTAATAAGCACTTCACAGCAAAGAAATTTAGTATCAGATATCAGATAAAGCTCAGAAATGTCTCTGCCAAATTTTATCAAGATCGGTTCAGATTTGGATATAGCTCTCAAATATACCTTCAACTGATTGTGGGTTAATTGTGCACCAAATAGCCAATAGCGGTCCGAATGAACTGAATTTTGTCATATTCGCCAGGAATGGGCCAAAATACCACAAATCAACATTCGGGCAGCGTATGACGGTTTCATTGGCCATAATTCTTGCCAAAGATGACCAATTCAAACATTCAAATTATGGCGTTTGAATTTGCTGCAGTTTTTTTTATCTCACCCTGTATCTTTAACCGAATTCGTGTTAATTGGGCACCAAATGGCCAATATCGGTCCAAAAATCCTGAATTTTGGTACATCCAACTGAATTTAGTCTAGAAACGAGTTCATCAAATTCGGAGAAAATCGGTTTAGATATAGCTATAACTCCCATATATATCTGATCATCCGATTTGGGATGTACATTTCCATTTTGTGCAACTCGGCCCCGATATATATTTTTTTCTCCAAGTGATATCATGCACTCTACATATAGTGGTGTAGGATATCATACAGTCGGCATCGCCCGACTTTTCCTTACTGGGCTATTTTTTTTTTTTCTATAAAAAATAAGCCTCTAGTTACTTTCCTCGTTTCCGGAACTGATTTTAAAAATTAATCCCCAGTGGTAAGGAACTGAAAAATCTATTTAAATTTCCCTATTTTAGTATCCGAATCGACTACAAAACTATTCCCCATCTGTGGAAATTCTAGATATACCCAATAAATTTATACCACATCGGTGAGTACGCTCTGACCCGAAATTGGTTGTTTTTTATTTTTTATTTTTCATATTTTTCGTTATTTTCCTTTTAAGCATTAACCCCAGTCATTTCAAAAATGCGGAAGTTCGAGAATGGATGCAATTTTCCCAATATGAAAATCATTCCTTAATTCAAGATCCGATTTTATATAGAAAATCTTATGGCAAATTGGGTGGCCTCCTAGAATTGGATTGGTGGCCAAATTTGCGTTTGGGAAACTGGCGTCTCTATGAGAGGGCTTTAAGAGAACACATTGAAGCGGATAAGGCGATCTACGATATTTTGGCTGGTACATCGCATATCGTTGGGGTACCTTCTTTTGAAGGGGCCTGTGGTGAAAATTACACCATGGTCAGTGTACAATATTCGGATAATAAATATATCCCAATGTACGTATGGCAGTATCTGAAATCTGTCAAGGGAAATGGCACTGATGTGGTGGTGATTGGTGTAAATTCAGCATTTGTGGACGTGAGTAGACTTTTAATTGAAATTTGCTTTCCTTTCAAGATAATAATCTGAGATGTTGGCCACAGTTCTATAAGGAGGAGAAATTGATTTTCTGCACCGACATTTGTCATAAAATTGATTGGTTAAAATCGGCTCGATCCAGTTTCCGTTACAAATCGTTGGGCCTGATCTTCTGTTGTGATGCCAAAGAAGTAAAAAAGGCGCAGCACTTGGAAGGATTTCCCTTGCCCATAAAGCCTGTAGTTGCTGTAGCACAACTACCACCGCTGCCATCAAATCCGGTCATAGTGAAGTATGATGATTTTAATGAACCAATAACTGAAGATTATGCTGATTCCGAATAAATATTCAAATTTAGGATATGATAAATTTATGCAAAACAAAAAAAAAATCATTTATAAAATCAGACTTTTCATTCTAAAAAAAATTCCAAAAAATGTACATAAGTGTATATGACTTTGTAGTTTGCTCCATATATATAATAAATATTCAAAACTGCTTGGCAATTTCAAATTTCTTTCTTGGACTATTTACTATATATTATCGCCCCATTATTATGTTACAAAATTTAGTACTTTGTTGTAGTTTTGTAAAATATTTTATAATTTTGTATACCCTACACCACATAGTGGTAAGGGTACTATGTCTTTGTGCATTGTTTATAACATGGAGAAGCAGCGAGATAGATACATACAGGGTTGTCCATATTCGACGGACCTTTGGGCCCATTCCAATCGACGAGGCTTGTCCGCAGGCAACATTCTTTGCGTCAATTGAATTTTGTACGGGAACAAATGCAAATCAATGCGAATAATCCGTTGTAAAGTGGACCGAGCCATGCCCAACTGCTGAGAACGGCGTTTTTGGGATGTTCTTGGGGACCTCTCAACACTGGCTCGTACGGCAGCGATATTCTCGGCCGATCGCCTTGGTCGACTTTTATATAGCCTCTTCGGATTAGAAAGAGCCTTACCAGTCGAAAATTTTTCGTATAAACGCTTAGAAGGCGAACTTCTCACATTTTTTAATGTTTTAAAAGCACGTTGAGTTTTCACAATTGACTTCTTGTAAATTTCAACTATTTCAGAGCGCTCGTGTGGCGTGTATTGGTTCATGGTAAAAATCTGCTTGGACTGACGCTTCAAACGCGGTATGTCATTAAGCGATGTGACATCTCTGTCAAAAGTTATGGCGTTGCCAGATGGGTCCGTCGAATATGGGCAACCCTGTAGTTACTTTTCAGGATCTTTATAGAATAACTTTCAGAGTCGATGTATGCATGCCAGTCCGTCTGTCCTTCCCTTCATCTGCCTGCCTGCCTGTCCATGTATTTTTGTGAACAAAAATTCCGGTCACATTTATTAAAATATTGAGATGAAATTTTCCAACCAATAATTGTTTGGCCCAAGGACGAACCCTGTGGTGTAAATCGGTTAAAATTTAGATATAGCTCCCATGTACATTTCAACCGATTTTGGGTCAATTGTGCACTTAATGGCCTATTTCAGTCCAAATGACCTGCATTTTGCCACATCTGAACGAATTCAGTGTAGAAGCAAGTACATCATATTTGGAGTAAATCGGTTTCGATATAGCTATAGCTCCCATAAATATGATTCATTCGATTTGGGATTTTGAGTCCCTCGCATGCGTTATATGCACTCCACAACGACGATCTTTGGTACCAAATATCAGATACTGCTCAGAAATAAGTGTTTAAAATTTAGTCAAGATCGGCTCAGAGTTGTATATAGCTCACATATATATCTTCATCCGATATCAGGTTTATTGTGCACCAATTTTCTAATATCAGCCTGAATGAACTGAATCTTAGCATTTCCGCCTGGATTCATCCCAGGAATATGTACCTTAAAATTTAGTGAAAATCGGTTCAGATATAGCTATAGCTCCATATACATGGTGAAATGAAAAAACTGCAACCAACTTGGGACTGCTGTCATTTCTAAGTCACTCATCCGATAGCTGTTAAAATTATTCCAGTGATAGCTCATTATATTGTTTACAAGCGTACAAAAGCATTTTAGTGAGAATTTTGCAGAAAAAAAAACTTATTCGTGATGGAATTCAAGCGTGATAGTGCGATTTCTTTATATTTTGCTGGAAAATCACAAGTGGCTATCGTTCGAGCACTCCAGCATTTAAATGTGAATAAATCTTTTGTGTGTCGTACGATCGCTCGTTACCGTGATACTGGTAGCGTAGTCCGACGTCAAGGAAGTGGACGGAAGATAGACGGAAAACAGCAACATCAGCAGAAATGGTTCGAAAAGTAAAGGAGCTACTTGATCGAAACCCGTGTCGCCAGTGGCGGAAAAATGGCTCGTGAGCTGAACATATCGCAAAATTCCATTTGGCAAATATTGAAAAATTAGCTCGGGGTCAAGCCATTGAAATTCCAAAAAGTGCAAGAACTTACACCGCAACAGAAAGAAAATGGACTCAAAAGAGCTAAAGACTTGCTTCGCTTGGCCGAAAGTGGTGAACTGCGGTATTTGGGTTTCTCCGATCTCCGATGAGAAAACATTCGTTGTCCAGCAGTTTGTAAACAAACAAAATTATCGTATTTACTTGCCAAAGAGTTCAGCGGAAAATGTGCACCTTCGGTTGGCCACCAGAACTCAAGCGCCGACCATGGTAATGGTGTGGGCCGCCATAACAGCCGATGGTCGCTCTCCGCTCGTATTAATCGACCGTGGCATCAGAATAAATGCCGAATATTATCGCGAAAATATTCTGGAAGGTGTATTAATGCCTTGGAGGGTGTATTAATGCCTTGGACGCAGACGTTGGACATTCCAACAGAACTCAGCACCATCACACTCAGCACACGCCACCCAAAGTAAGGTTCCTCTCTTCACTCCCAGCGCAAAATGGCCACCAAAATCTCCGGACACCAATCCGTTGGACTATTGTGTCTGGTGCACTTTGGAAAGCAAGGTTGACACTAAAAAATGCTAAAATGTCGATCACCTTCGCCGGTAATGGGCCAAAATACCGCAGAGCAACATTCGGGCAGCGTGTGAAGGTTTCATTGGCCATTTGAAGGCCATAATTCGTGCCAATGGTGACCAATTCGAACGATTCCAAACTTATTCTAAAATTTTATGCAATTTCCGATATTTTTTGATTTAATTCAATAAAATTTAAATAAAAATATAGAAATTATGGCGTTTGACTTTGTTGCAGTTTTTTTATCTCACCCTGTAGCTCCCACATATATTTTCAACACATTTCGGGTTAATTGTGCACCAAATGGCCAATATCAGCCCAAATAACCTGAATTTTTACGCATCTGACCTAATTCAGCCTAAAAATAAGTGCTTTAAATTTTGAGGAACATGGATTCAGATATAGCTATAGCTTCCATATAAATGTTTCATCCGATTCGGGGTTATATGTCCATCACATGAGCAGTATATTTTCCACAAGAACGATATTGAGTACCAGATAAAAACCCAGAAATACCCGTCTAATTTTATTGAGATCAGATCTGATTTGGATATAGCTCCCATATATATCTTTATCTTATTTCAGGCATATTGTGGCCCAATGGGTAATATCAGATCTGATTTGGATATAGCTCCCATATATATCTTTATCCGATTTCAGGCTTATTGTGCACCCAATGGGTAATACCAGTCCAAATAAATTGAATCTTGGCAATTCCGACCGAATTCAGTTTTGAAGTAAATATTTTAAAATTTGGTGAAAATCGGTTCAGATATAGCTCCCATATATATGATTCATCTGATTTGGGGTTTTAAGTGCCTCACATGCATAACATGCACTCCACAAGAATGATCTTTTGTTCTAGATATAGGATACAGCTCAGAAATATGTGCCTAAAATTTTTTCAAGATCGGCTCAGATTTGCATATAGCTCCGTATACATTTAGGGTATCATATAGTCGGGCCCGCCCGACATTTCCCTACTGTTTTTCCCGATTTGTATTGAAAATATTTGCTGAGTAGTCAACAAGATTTCCTTCATTTCAAGCTTTTGAAATCAAAGAATATGGTAGTGCTAGTCCTAACATTAGACCCAAGACATTTTCCAGACAGTTTTTGGAAAAATATTAAAAAAAAAAAAATTAAAAAGCAGCAAGCACGGCCGGGCCGAACTTTCAATACCCTCCACCATTTGGAACAAATTTGTAAATTTTCAAAAAATAAAATCCGTTAAAAATTCTGTTGAAATCTTAAAAATACCGAATAAAGCTGTCATATTGGACTCTATACGACGTGAACCTACATAGGCATTGTTATTACCATATCCAACTTCGAAACTTGAAATAAACCGTGAATAATGTAGCTAAAATCATCAAAATACCGTACATATAGAGAGGTACCGTTTTATCGGAGCCATACGAAGACCTGTATGCAAACATTTTCTGTCACAGACTGTAGTATCCATTACCAACTTCAACTACGACATCTCAAACAATTTCTGTGAGTATTGTTCCTAAAACCGTCAAAATACCGAATATCGGGAGGTACTGATATATGGAGCCTGTACGGAGACCTGGACCTGCATAGACAATTTTCTGTCATAGGCTGTACCATCCATTACGAACTTCAAATACCAAATTTTAAACAATTCCGTTGAATAGTGTCGCTAAAATCATCAAAATACCTAATATTGGGAGGTACCGTTATATGGGGGCTATACGACAACGTGGACCTGCACACACAATCTCCTATTATAGACTGTAGCATCCATTACGAACATCAAATACCAAATTTGATAGAATTCCAATGAATATTGTCGCTGAAATCATCAAAATACAGAATATCGAGAGGAATCGTTTTATGGGGGCCATACGAAGACGTGGACCCACACAGACGATTTTCTGTTTTAGGCTGTAGTATCCATTTCGAACTTCAAATACCAAATTTGAAACAATTCTGGTAAATATTGTCGCTAAAATCATCAGAATACCGAATATCGAGAGGTACCGTTATATGGGGGCTATATGATAACTTGGACCTACATGATCCATTTACGAACTTAACCTGCCTACTGAAAAAATAAACATATGTGGAAAATTTTAGCCTTCTGTCTCAATTCGTTCGAAAGATAGCGTGATCGACTTAGAATTTTACGCAGATCAAGAATATATATGCTTTGTTGGGCCTGACATGAAGTTAATATACCCTCCAAAAGTTATGAGCTGTCACTGGAGTAATTTTAACAGCTGTCGGACGAGTGGCTTAAAAATGACAGCAGTCGGAAATTGGTTGCAGTGTTTTCATCTCAATCTGTATGTCCAGGCTACACATTAAAAGCGACCCTAATAAATTTCAGATTTCAAGCACTATCTCTTCTTCCAATACTGAAATCTATCCTGCTCTCATTCTGCTTCTCATTCCAAATTGCATAATTCTTGCTCATTCCGTTTGTCCAATACAAAGTATTACATTTTCAGTACGAATTTCCAAAAACTAAGACAGGGCCTGTTTTAGAATGTGGACGGAGAGATACACAGCTTTGGTGGCTCTTTTCGCAGCCATTCTCTCATTTACCACACCCCTTGGGAAAACTCGTAATTTGATCTATACTACTAAATAACCCTTGGTTCTAGGTAAACAACTGTAATGGAATTAGGCCGGACTATTTTGAAATAACAACATTTTATTTCTATACCCTACACCACAAGGTGGTCAGGGTATTATGTCTTTTTGCATTTGTGTGTAACAGGAATAAGGAAACGAGATAGACCCATAGTTCCTTTTGATGATCTGCATAGAATCACATTCTGAGTCGATTTATACATGTCCCTCCGTCTGTCCGTTTGTCCACGTATTTTTGTAAACAAAGTACAGTTCGCATTTAGTACCCGATCCAGATGAAATTTTGGACAAATCATTTGTTTGGCCCAAGGACGAATCCTATTGAAATTGGAGATAATCGGTAAAAATTTACATCTAAATTTTTACCAATATATATCTTCGTCCGATTTGCTTTTTATTGTGCACCAAACGTGTAATATCAGCCCGAATAGTATGGAATTTTGCACATACAACCAAATTAGTTCTCCAAATATATATGCCAAATTTGATAGAAATCGGTTCAGGTATAGCTATAGCTCCCATATATATTGTTCATCCGATTTGTTATTTTTGTCCTCCGCAGCCGTAATATGCACTCTGTAACAACAATATTTGGGGAAATATATCAAATGCAGCTCAGAAATACCTTTGCTAAATTTTATCGAGATCGGTTCAGATTTGGATATAGCTCCCATATATAACTTCGTCCGATTTACTTTCTATTGTACACCAAACGTCTAATATTTGTCCAAATGGGACGGAATTTGGCACATACGACCGAATTGAGTCTAGAAGTTAGTATGCCAAATTCGGTGAAGATCGGTTCAGATATAGCTATAGCTCCCATATATATTGTTCATTCGATTTGTTGTATTTGTTACCCACAGCCGTAATATGCATTCCGTAACAACGATATTTAGGGAAATATATCAAATACAGCTCAGAAACATCTTTGCCAAATTTTATCAAGATCGGTTTAGATTTGGATATAGCTCCCATATATATCTTTATCCGATTTCAAATTGGCTTTGCACCAAATGGACAATACAAGTCCGAATTTAAAAGATACAAATGCTTCGGCATATTTAGTCCTTTGAACTTTAAATTATAATTAATAATCATAGCGTGTATGATTGAATTCTTCCATAAAAACTTTTAATTGTTATGTGGAGCTCAACTAAATTAGCAAAGTGGTGTAGGGTATCATAAAGTCGGCACGCCCGCCTTTAAGACTTTCTTTACTGTTTTTTTGATTGAATTAAAATATTTTCCGAATAAAGTGTATTTGAACATAAAATTTGCTATACATAAATTATTCCATGGCCCCAAAATGTTTCAGTATTTTTGAGTCAGATGTTTTATTTTCAATATGGGTTAATTAATATCTTCAAATGACATGTCATATGACTCAGGCATTTGCTGCTTCAGATGGTATTGAGAATCCTTCTAAATGTTTCGATTGCATTACTTCCTTAACATCGCAACAGAAAATCAGGCCCATCGTTTTGTAACTGAATGTGGATTTGACTGCCTTTAACCAATCGATTTTGTAACAGATATCCGTGCAGAAAAACAATTCCTTTTCCCCATGGAACTATGAACGATATGTGAGAAAATTAATGAAAATTAAGGGATTTTCAAATAAAAAAAATCTACTCACATCACTAAAAGCTGAATTGACGGCAATCACAACCACATCATTGGCATTATCTCTCTTCGACTTCAAATAGTGCCATATATAAAGGGGAATTTTTCGATCATGCCAATAGTATACCTCGGCCATGAAATAATTTGCACCACTGCCATTTCCATGAAAGGGTACAGCAACTGCTCCCGACACGCCCGCCAAAATGTCATAAATTTCCTGGTCCGCCTCAATGTGTTCCTTTAGAGCTTTCTCATAGCGATGCCAGTTGCCCGAACGTAGACCTGGCCACCAATGGACTTCCAACAAGCCACCATATGGATTATAGGAATTTGTAAATAAATTTGGATCTTGTATTATGGCCTGATTGTCATATTGGGCAAATTCCAGTCGTTGTCCGACCTGTTCATTACTGAGGCGGTTGGGGTCAATACTGCAAAGGGGGGAAAATACAAAACAGTCAGGCGCAATCTCATTGTTGATGTTTACGTCAAATTAAATAAACTCTAATGAATGCAGAAATTTTTTAATTTTTACACAGGGGTTAAGTGAGGGTAGACCTTGAGTTTGGAAAGAGCCCCTCTTTTTTTTTTTTTTTGTTTTTGAGGATATTTTCCCCTGGACTTACATATTTAAAAATAATCCTTTGACAGTATTTTTGTTTGCTAAACATGATTGGTGGCTCTTTCCGCCACCATGGTCTTCCCTTCCTTATCGCAACAAAATGCTACTCACCGATAAGATTCAAAGTTTCTGTATGCCAGTTCTATTTCCGTTGATGGTAAATAATTTTCAAGGCGTGTCGGATACTAGAAATGGGAAATGGAAATGCTTATTTTTATTACAATTTGCGAAAAAATCCAAAATCCAACAGCAGAAACTTGGTAGATTATGGAAGTAGGACTAAAAAATGGAATACGCGTGTATGGGTATTTTGAAAATTTATATTGCAAAATAACCTAATTTGAGAATGCAAGTTTTTATGTCTTTCAAATTTTCGTATTAAGATTCCTTGGAATCACTGCATTTTGGGTATAAAGTACCTTCGGCATTTTATATTGCAGTAAGGAAAAGTTAAAAGTCGGGCGGGGCCAACTATATGATACCTTACACCACCCTGCGTATTTAGTACAGTGTATTGGGAATTTATGTGAAGTAGACCATGAACCCTATGACATTGCTGGATATGATATGACTTCGATAAAAATTATATTAAACAAGTAAAAACCAGTAAAGAAAGTCTTAAAGTCGGGCGAGGCCGACTTTATGATACCCTACACCACTTTGCAAATTTAGTAGAGCTTCGCATAACAATTGAAAGTTTTTATGGGAGAATTCAATCATTTACGCTATGAATATAAATATAATTTAAAGTTCAAAGGACTAAATATGCCGAAGCATTTGTATCTTTTAAATTCGGCCTTGTATTGCCCATTTGGTGCACAATTAATTTGAAATCGGATAAAGATATATATGGGAGCTATATCCAAATCGGAACCGTTAAAATCTTAAAAATATCGAATGTAGCCGTTATATTACGGTCTATACGAGGACATGGACCTGCATAGGCATGTTTGTCATAAGCCATTACAACATTCAAATTCGAAACTTGAAAAAAAAAAAACGCTGAATAAAATTTGGCAAAGATATTTCTGAGCTGTATTTGATATATTTCCCTAAATATCATTGTTGCGGAGTGCATATTACGGCTGTGGGGAACAAATATGACAAATCGGATGAACAATATATATGGGAGCTATAGCTATATCTGAACCGATCTTCACCAAATTTAACATACTAGCTCCTAGACTCAAATCGGTCCTAAGTGCCAAATTCCATCCCATTTGGACAAATATTAGACGTTTGATGCACAATCAAATGTAAATCGGATGAAGTTATATATGGGAGCTATATCCAAATATGAACCGATCTCGATAAAATTTAGCAAATGTATTTCTGAGCTGTATTTGATATAACAAAAAACAAATCGGATGAACAATATATATGGGAGCTATAGCTATATCTGAACCGATTTCGATCAAATTTGGCATACTTATTTTCAGGCCTACTTTGGTTGTATGTGCAAAATTCCATACTATTCGGGCTGATATTACACGTTTGGTGCACAATAAAATGTAAATCGGACGAAGATATATATGGGAGCTATATCTAAATTTTTAGCGATTATCTCCAATTTCAATAGGGTTCGTCCTTGGGCCAAACAAATAATTTGTGCAAAATTTCATCTGGATAGGACAATAAGTGCGAACTGTACTTTGTTTACAAAAATACATGGACAGACGGACAGACAGACTGACGGACGGACATGCATAAATCGACTCAGAATGCGATTCTATGCAGATCATCAAAAGGAACTATGGGTCTATCTCGTTTTCTTTTGCCTGTTACAAACAAAACAAGACATAATACCCTGACCACCTTGTGGTGTAGGGTATAAAAAACTGTAAGTTCGGCCGGACCGAACTTTAAATACCCTCCGCCGTTTGAAACGAATCCGTTAAAGTTCTGTTAAAATCTTAAAAATATCGAATGTAGCCGTTATATTACGGTCTATACGAGGACGTGGACCTGCATAGGCATGTTTGTCAAAAGCCATTACAACATTCAAATGCGAAACTTGAAAAAAATCGCTGAATAATGTAGCTAAAATTATCAAAATATATATGGGAGCTATAGCTTTATCTGAACCGATACCAATATTTGAAGTACTTGTTTCTGGGATGAATTCCATCGGAAGGGCCAAAAATCAGTCCATTTGGGCTGATATTAGCCATTTGGTGCACAATAAATTTGAAATTGGAAAAAATATATATAGGAGCTATATCCTAATCTGATCCGATCTTGACAAAATTTTAAACATTTATTTCTGAGCTGTATCTGATATCTGGTACCATAGATTATTGTTGTAAAGAGCATATTACTCATGTGAGGGACTTAAAACCTGAAATCAGATAAAACATATGAACGGGAGCTATAGTTAAATCTGAACCGATTTTCACCAAAATATGAAGTACTTGCTTCTAGACTGAATTCCGTCGAAATTGCCACATTTCACTCCATTTGGTTGGTCATTTGGTGCACAATTAACCCAAAATCGGTTGAAGATAAATGTGGGAGCTAAATCTTAATTTGAACCGATTGTCATCAATTTCAATAAAGTTCGTCCTTAGACCAAACAAATATTGTGTGGAAAATTTCATCTCAATCGGATAATAAATACGATCTGCATTTTGTTCTCAAAAATACATTGACAGATGGACGGACGGTCGGACTAACATGTATAAATCGACTCAGAAAGTGATTCTATGAAGATTCTCAAAAGTATCTATGGTTCTATCTCGCTTCCTTCTCCTCTCCATGAAACAAATGCACAAAGACATAATACCCTTACTACTATGTGGTGTAGGGTATTAGAGATTTAGTTTCTATCGTAACTTATGGCAAAATTTGATGAAGAATAATTTTATCTTTGGCGTTATCCTCCTATGTTCATGCTTTTAAGGAGTATTTTGCATAAATTCCCAAAAGGCCTTAACCTTACGATTTGTTTTTTAAATATTTTTGAGTTTAGGTAAAATTTAGGTTAATCTGCGACCCATATTAGATTTTTGTGATAAATAATTAAAAAAAAAAATATTTAAAGTGAGATTTTTAAGCATATTTTTAAAGAAGGTCCACACAGACCCGTTTGATGACTCGCTTGAGCGCTAATAATTTCGAAAAAAAAAAATAGTAATCCTCGTATTGTTACCAGTAATATCGTCAGAGACACTATATAGCTCATAGGCCCTGTTTCCAAGGAATCTCTATCCAAAGAATTTTAGAATTTTGTGGGAAATATTTTAGATATATTTTAAGTGAGATTTTTAACCATATTTTTAAAGAAGGGCTACACCGGCCCCTTTGGTGACTCTTTTGAGGGTTAATATTTTTGAAAAAATTAATCCAGGTACTGTTATCAGTAATATTGTCACAGGCACTATATAGCTCATAGGAATCTCTATCCGAAGATTTCAAAAAACGTGGATAAGGGGGAACTTGCCTCCTTCCTATTCAGGCTATTATGCGATTTAAACTTTCGAAACACCTAAACCCCTGTTTGCTATATTTAGCTCTAATTTCATAATCGATACACCCTGGATATTTCCTCTAATTAATTTTTGGTGTTGCACAGTGTAATCTACTTGATTTTTCCTATAATTATTGAAAAAAAAGTAAAAAACTGTAAGTTCGGCCGGGCCGAACACTGAATACCCTCCACCATTTGGAACGAATTTGGCAATTTTCAAAAAAAAAAAAAAAAAAAAAAAAAAAAAATCCGTTAAAAATTCAAAAATATTAAATGTAGCCTCATATAAGGGTCTACGAACTTCAAATACCAAATTTGAAACAATTCCGGTATATAATGTCGCTAAAATCACCAAAATACCGAATATCGGGGGGTACAGTTATATGGGCGTATGCGGAGACGTGGACCTACATAGCCCATTTTCAATACCAAAAGTCCTGCATACATAATACACATTTGAGTACATTTTTATCAACGTACTTCATTTCGTTCGGAAGCTAGAGTGATTTTCACAGACGGACAGACGGATAGACGGACGGACATTGATAAATCGACATATAATTTTATGCTGATCAAGAATATATATACTTTGTGGGGTCTAAAATGTATATTTCGAGGTGTTACAAACGGAATGACAAACTTAATATATATACTATGGTGGAGGGTATAAAAATAAATAAATTATGTCGCACAGTGTAATTTACCTTATATTCGGACAGTTGATGAGAAGCAGCATAATAAAACTTCAAAATTCGTTGTTCCTTCAAGTTGTAACAAATCCCAGCATAATATTCATAAGCATCATCCACGGGTCTTGCCAGTAGATATGACGTCATGGGTGTGGGACACCAGTCGAATGGTTTTGACGATTCATATAAAGCCCAATGTTTTGGATGGCACCATAGACGTAGATCCCTAATTAGTTTGCTATCGTCGACATAAAAGTGATTTTGAGTACAATTCAAATCAATGCTACGTTTGCCATCTAGAAATCTGGGCCTATAAAACGTATTTAAATTAATATTAATAATTTTAATAATTTTTAAAATTCAAAAACAACACCTTTCCAAATCTCACCTCAGAATACTTGTTTCACATTGAGCGGTTATCACTACATTTTCTGGGAATTGATGATTAATTCTTCTCTCGGTGTTGATCAAAATTTTACGGCTGCCAATATTCTTATACAATTTCGGCCACATCGACTCCTCTACGGAGAAATTAAACGAACAGTCACCGGAGACTAGGACTGCGGCATAACAACAATAAATTACGACTGTGAGTTGGAATTTTCTAAAATCCATTTGGACAACCAGCCTGCAGCTGAGCGAACGAATAAATGATTTGCCTTTGAAGGTGTGCATTATATTAAGGTAGATTTTATTGAAAAATTACTTTATTTTCAATTGTATTAAAAAAATCCAAGAATTGTTGACAGGGAAAATCCACATGTAGATTGCATGGAGAGGTTGGGATTAAATTAAATTATTATGAAAAACAAGTAAAAAAAATTAAATTGGACCGGGCCAAACTTTTAATACCCTCCGTGTGGAATATCGCCCTCAAAATTTAGATACATTGATAAAAATCGCGTTAAATTGGACAAATTGGTCCGTCTGAGGAAATCACTCTAGTTTCCGAACGAAATGAAGTAGGTTAATACAATTTTACTCAAATGTATATTATGTCTGTAGGACTTTTGGTATTAAAAATGAGCCATATAGGTCCACGTTTCGGTATAGCCCCCATATAAAGGTACCTCCCGATTTTTGGCATTTTGATGATTTTAGCGACATTACACAGCGGAATTGTTTCAAATTTGGTATTTGAAGTTCGAAATGAATACTACAGCCTAACACAGAAAATTGTCTGTGCAGTTCCACGTCTTCGTATATCCTCCATATAACGGTACCTCCCGATATTCGGTATTTTGATGATTTTAGCGACATTATTTACCGGAACTATTTCAAATTTGGTATTTGAAGTTCGTAATGGATATTACAGCCTATGACAGAAAATTACTTGTGCAGGTCCACGTTTAACCCCCATGGTACCTCCCTATATTCGGTATTTTGGTGATTTTAGCTACATTATAAACATTGTAATAGTTTAGGACAAAAGTTGCCTATGGATGTCCATGTCATCGTATAGACCCTAATATACCGGCTATTTTTGATATTTTTAAGATTATAACAGAATTGTTAACACATTTCATTTTTATTTATTTATTTTTTTTTTTTTTTTTGAAAATTGCAAAATTCGTTCAATATGTTAAAAGGTATTTAATGTTCGGCACGGCCGGACATACAGTTTTTTTACTTATTTTAGCCTGAACATTTCTAACCTGTGCTCGACTTAACCCGAACCTTCTCTTTATCACCGGAATTCCGGCCCCCCAAAAGAACATATATTTTATTAGACCGCATTTCAATTTTTATTGTTCCGATTACAAAAATAATTTAATTTTACCCTCAAATCGTAAACGATTTTAAAACACATAACCTTAGTCGCAATATAATTCCAAGAAGAGAATGCCACAAATCTTAGATATATAGTTTAATCAATTTTTATTTGTTTGCGAATTTAAGTAATTTCCTCTCACCTTGCAAAAAAAGCGATTGCGTATATAAAAAACAGTCTGACAAAGAAAGGAGGTTCAAATATTTAATGAGAACTAGTCGCTTTCATCGTATCTCCGTCCCTGGCATGAAAGTGTAGGTTACAATAGCAATATTACTCAATTAAAGTTGAATCAGCTATTGTATACGGAATACAAAATTTACCTCATATTTTACCCAATTCGTACCACCAATTTTATTTATTATTATATTTATTTTATTTATATTTTTCTATTGAATTGTTCTTAATTTTTATGGGTGAATATTAGACTCGTTTTCAAGCAAATTCCAATTTTCTAATAATTCCTTACCAAAAAAAAAAAAAAAAAAAACAAGTAAGCAAAGGCTGCAGTCGAGCGGGGCCGACCGTTGAATACCCTACAACACTATAATAAACGATACAGTTTATATAGGCGAGATACTCGAAAGAATTCCACAAGATATTGTGACAAATAATAAAAGAAAACCATCAGGTTTCGTTCTCTAATTTTCGAATAATAGCAACTTAAACTAATTTGCTCATTTCCAATTTATTGGTAGATGTTTCACGTAAATGGTCTTCCTAGATCTGGAACCAATATTTCCCAAAGACCCATAATCTTTCAGAAGTGGCAAAAGATTAACATTTATTATTGGTTTTTGACTGAAACGCATTTATATGAGATACAGACATTTGACTATATTCTTCAACGAAATAGTCAGAAGTGCGTCTTTCCTGTATTTGTGAATTCTCCAAAAAGTCACTGGAATGGATATTTTCGTATTTTGTCTACAAAAGTTGGCAAACTATTTCACACATTGAATATTTTAGGATGGTCATCCAAAACTGCTTAGCTATTGCAATGTCCGGTAACCCCCATTCAAATGTACGTGAGGATCGGGTGATAGTTAAGACCCGCTGACAATTTTGCAGTTTTTTGGTCCATTTCAACCCCGATCATCTCCAAAAAGGGTAGGCTTCTATTCTGACCCTCATCTTATACCCATGCGAAATTTCGTAAGGATCGGGCCATAAATGAGATCTGTATATGATATCCTGATATCCTAACTACTTAGTTTTGTTAGCTGTAGAAATATTACCAAATGTTTAATTCAAAATGAAATTATGCCAAAAATATGACAAAATTGAAAAAATATGAGAATATTTTCATCTTTAGAGAGATATTTTTATGCGATTTCTTAGACGTTTTTTCTTTCAATCAAGAGGCCATTCTGAATTAATGAGAACTGTCGAAATCAGTTCAGCCGTTCTCGACATATATGAGATCTTTCAAGCATATCTTCTTTGATAGACAAATATGTCGAAAATATTTTGCTATATATCCGATTTGTTGGATGTTAACATCTATGTAAAGATCAGAAGTAACCCTGTCATGGCTTTGTGATTTCGCTGGGATTTAATTTATTCGCGGTTTAATGAAAAATTTCGAATTTTTTCAATACAAAAGATATGGTCTATTTTACTCGCTAAATATAATCCGATGACCACCCAAATTGGTAGGCTTCTTCCCCGTCCTAAACTCTAGCTACATGCGAAATTCCGCGTCGATTGGTCTATAATTGCGACCTGTATAGCTACTGCAAAATCCGACATTTTTTCAGTATTTGGTCCATTTCAACCCCAAAACATTTGGCGATCATCTCCAAAAGAAATAGGGTTCTATTCTGACATTAACCCCACCTACATTTTAAATTTCGTGAAGATCGGGCCATAATTGCGACCTGTAGAGTGATTACAAATCAACATGGACAGACGGACAGACGGACGGACGGACATACATAGCTAGATCGACTCAGCTCGGCGAGCTAGGAAGATCCATATATACTTTCCTATGTGGGAAACAAATATTTCGAGGTGTTACATAAATTCTGTCCCAATCAAACTTATAATACCCCCAACACATAGTGTTGTAGGGTATAAAAACAACACATAAATGTACTGACTTATGTCAATCTTTTGATAAGTAAGTGATATGGCCTCATATAACACATCATAGCACAACAAAACTCTAAATTTTCACTAACCGCCAGAGATTCGCTAATATTAAAACTACATTCTTTATGTGAGCGTATCTAATTAAAAAATCATTTTAGAAGGAAAAACGCCGAAAACTCAATATTTAAGGAGTTATGGCCATTTTAAACAATTCAATAATTCATTCTTTGAATATAAAGATTTATTTATTAATTTAAATGTTTATGTCCCTTTTTGGCCATGGCAGGAGTTATGCTACATTTTTATCTGGGGTTAATGGCAATGGGAATCTATCCAAATTTTTCGACATCTTTACTTCCTCGGCATCACAGCAAAATATCAGACCCATTGTTTTGTAACGGAAAGTTATTTGAACAGTTTCTAACCAATTGATTTTGTGGCAGATGTCGGGGCAAAATATCAAATCCTTTTCCCTATAGAACTGTGGAGATTATATCAGATATTAATAATAAAAGCAAAACAATATTTAAAATTATAAAATACTCACATCACTAAATGCTGAATTGACGCCAATCACAACGAAATCTCTACCATTCTCCTTGGGAGACTTCAAACAGTGCCATACATAAAGAGGAATTTTTTGATCATTCCAATAGGTCACATCTATCATGGTGTAGTTTTCATGACTTGCATTTCCATAATAGGGTACAGCTATCGAACCAGATACCCCTGCCAAAATATCATAAATCTCCCCATCTGTGTCAATGTGCTCCCTCAAGGCCTGCTCATAGAGACGCCAATTCCCCGAACGTAAATTCGGCCACCAATCCAATTCCAATAAACCACCAAATTTATGAAAGACATTTCTATATAAATTCGGATCCTGTATTAATGAATGATTTTCGTATTGGGAAAATTGCAACCAATATTGGATTTCCACATTATTGAAATATGAGCTGTAAATGCTAAGGTCGAAATAGAGAAGAATTAAATGGAAAATAATAACGAGTTCAATATTAAAACATTCAATACTTACCGGCGGGGTACATATTTTTGGAGTATATCCTTTATTTCTGCCGATGGAAAATAATTTTCAAGGCGAGCAGGATACTTAAAAGAGAAATTGATTTTTTGTTGTTGTTAATTTCCGAACAAATTATTGGTATATTCTGCTCTCATTTTAGCTTACCTTATGTTTCGACAATTGATGAGCTGCAGCATAGTATAAGTTCTGGATTTGTTGTTGTTCCGTGTTATAACAAACACCGGCTAAATATTCAAAAACAGTTTCATTCACAGGTCTTGCCAACAGGAATGATGCCAAGGGAGTGGGGCACCAATCGAACTGTTTCGATGACTCATACAAAGTCCACTCTATGGGATAGCACGAAAATTGGGGATGACTACGGAGTTTTAAACTATCTACATAAAGATCAGTGCCAATGCATTTTAGATCAATGCTACCTGTGGCTTGATCGGGACTGAAAGATAAAAATAATTATTTATAATTTTTCAACTCACGGCTGTTATTTTAGCATTCCAAACTTACTGCGTATCACAAGCCATGGAAATCACATCATCTCCTTGGATTCGAAAAGAGATTTCATCGGTACGAATTGGAGTTTTTCGGCTACCGATTTTCGTATACATTTTCGGCTTTTTAGACTCATCTTGAGGTATTGTAAAGGTGCAATAACCGTGGACATGTGTTACGACATAACACCAACCAAGGATGGATATTAGTAGAAATTCCGTCAAATCCATTTGGACAACTTTTCAGCATAAAATCGAGCGAGGAAATGATTTACTTGTGAAAGTGTGCCTCATATAAACACTTTTTACTAACCAATTATTTAAATTAAATTCCTAAGAAACACCAATTTACAATTGATGACTAATAAATAATTGAAACCAGCAAGAGAAGACAAAAGTCGGACGGTGCCGACTTTATGATACATAACAACATTATTACTATTTACTTGAGTAACGTGTAGCAAATACAGGGTGAGATAAAAAAACTGCAACAAAGTCAAACGCCATAATATTTACATTTTTATACCCTACACCACAAGGTGGGCAGGGTATTATGTCGTTGTTCATTTGTTTGTAACAGGCAAAAGGAAACGAGATAGACCCATAGTTCCTTTTGATGATCTGCATGTCCGTCCGTCCGTCTGTCCATGTATTTTTGTAAACAAAGTACAGTTCGCATTTATTGTCCTATCCAGATAAAATTTTGCACAAATCATTTGTTTGGCCCAAGGACGAATCCTATTGAAATTGGAGATAATCGGTCAAAATTTAGATATAGCTCCCATATATATCTTTTTCCGATTTGCCTTTTATTTTGCACCAAACGTGTAATATCAGGCCGAATGGTATCGAATTTTGCACATACAACCAGATTAGGCCTGAAAATAAGTATGCCAAATTTCGAAATAGGTTCAGATATACCTATAGATCCCATACATATTTTTCATCCGATTTGTTATTTTTGTCCTCCGCAACCGTAATATGCACTCTGTAACAACAATATTTGGGGAAGTATAGCAAATGCAGCTCAGAAATACTTTTGCTAAATTTTATCGAGATCGGTTCAGATTTGGATATAGCTCCCACATATAACTTCGTCCGATTTACCTTTTATTGTGCACCAAACGTCTAATATTTGTCCAAATGGGATGAAATTTGGCACTTACGACCGAATTGAGTCTAGAAGCTAGTATGTCAAATTTGGTGAAGATCGGTTCAGATAGAGCTATAGCCCCCATATATACTCTTCATCCGATATGTTATATTTGTTACCCACAGCTGTAATATGCACTCCGCAACGACGATATTCAGGGAAATATATCAAATACATCTCTGAAATATCTTTGCCAAGTTTTATCGAGATCGGTTCCGATTTGGATATAGATCCCATATATATATATATTTATCCGATTTCAAATTAATTCTGCACCAAATGCGTAATACATGTCCGAATTTAAAAGATACAAATGTTTCGGCATATTCAGTCCTTTGAACTTTAAATTATAATCATAGCGTGTATGAACTTTTAATTGTTATGCGGAACTCTACTTAATTAGCAAAGTGGTGTAGAGTATGATAAAGTCGGCTCTGCCCGACTTTAAGTCTTTCTTTACTGGTTTTTATTAAATTGTATTCAATAAAACGAAAAAATGTCGGAAATAGCATCAAATTTCAGAATAAGTTTAGATTTTTTCGAATTTGGCACGAATTATGGCCTTCGAATGGCCAATAAAACACACTCTGCCCGAATGTTGTTCTGCGGTATTTTGGCCGATTCGCGGCGAAGCGCTTGCTTGAGGTGATCGACACTTTGGTATTTTTAGTGCTTTCCTATATAGGCAATTTTATACTGCAAGGATTGTCTTCCACCAAATCTTCTTCAATACCAAATTTGAAACAATTTCGTGGGTAAATGTGACTAGAATTATCAAAATATCGGTTTTATATGTGTGCTATTGGAAAATGTGGACCCAAATATTCAATGCTCTGCCATCGGAGCTAGAACCCATTATGAACTACAAATACCGATTGTTAGACAAATTCGTGGAAAAATGTGGCAAAAAGATCAAAATACTGAATATCCGAAGATACCATTATGTGGGGCTATACGAAAACGTGGACATATACATACTATGTTCCAGGAGCTAGAACCCATTACGAACTTCAAATACCAAATTTTAAAGAAATCCGTGGGAAAATGTGCCAATGTCAAAACACCGAATGTCGGGTGGTACCGTGGACCTATATATACTATGTTCCACCACAGGAGCTAGGATCCATTACAAACTTCAAATACACATTCTTAGAGAAAGCTGAGAAAAAATGTGCCAAAAATCATCAAAATACCGAATGTAGGGAGGTACCGTTATATGGGGACTATACAAAAACGTGAGCCTATACATACAATGTTTCGCCACCTGAGCTAGAACCCACTAGGAGCTACAAATAAGAATTTTTAAACAAATAATGTAGGCTGTAACGTGATTTCAACAGACAAGCGAACATCGTTAAGTCGACTTAGAATTTTATGCTGATCATAAATATTTATACTTTATGGGGTCTGCGACAAATATTTAGGGATGTTACAAACGTAATGACAAAGTTAATATATCCTCCATTATAACAAGTAAAAAAGCTGTAAGTTAGGCCGGGCTGAACTTTGAATACCTTCCACCATTTGGTACAAATTTAACAATTTTCAAAAAACTAAAATCCGTTAAAAATTCTGTAAAAATCTTGAAAATACCTAATGTAGTCGTATATTAGAGTCTATACGACGACTTGGAGCTGCATAGGCAACTTTTGTCACAAGCTATTACAATATTCAAATGCGAAACTTGAAAAAAACTGTTTATAATGTAGCTAAAATGATCAAAATACCGAATATAGGGAGGTACCATGGTGGTTATAAAACGTGGATCTGCGCAGACAATTTTCTGTCATAGGCTGTAATATCCATTACGAACATCAAATGGGAAATTTGAAACAATTCCGGTAAATAATGTCGCTAAAATCATCAAAATACCGAATATCGGGAGGTACCGTTATATGGGGGTTATACGAAGACGTGGACCTGCACAGACAATTTTCTGTCATAGGCTATAGTATTTATTGCGAACTTCAAATGGCAAATTTGAAATAGTTCCGGTAAATAATGTCGTTAAAATCATCAAAATACCGAATATCGGGAGGTACCGTTATATGGGGGCTACACGAAGACGTGAACCTACATGACTCATTTTCTGCCTTAGGATGTAGTATCCATTACGAACTTCAAATACCAAAATTGAACCAATTCCGGTAAATAGTGTCGCTAAAATCATCAAAATACCGAATATCGGATGGTACCGTTACATGGGGGCTATACGAAGTCGTGGATGTCTTCGTATAGCCCCCATGTTTTATGCTGTAGTATCTATTACAAACTTAAAATACCAAATTTTAAACAATTCCGGTAAAAAATGTGGCTAGAATCATTAAAATATCGCATATCGGGAGGTACCGTTATATGGGGGCTATACGAAGACGTGGACCTACATGGCCCATTTTCAATACCAAAAGTCCTGCAGACATAGTACACATTTGAGTAAAATTTGATCGGACAGACTGATAGACGGACAGACGGTCGGATATTGATAAATCGACATAGAATTTTATGCTGATTAAAAATATATATACCTTGGGGGGTCTAAAATGTATATTTGGAGGTGTTACAAACGGAATGACAAACTTAATATACACTCCATACTATGGTGGAGGGTATAAAAAGGTATAAAAATAGATGACATGTATATCGGAGTTTTAAAAGTTAACATTGCAAAGTAACCTAAATAGAAGGGGGAAACTTCCCTCTCTAGCACAAATTTTGAAATTTTTCTTGGAATCCGTGAATCACAGATATAGTGTCTTCGGCAATATTAATGATAGCAATAAAATAATATTTTTTAATGTTTCAGAATCGTGTTACCTTTCGAAAATGTCATAACACTTGGTCGTGATTTAACACCTTGTTATTTCTCTTCTTGAAAAAGAATCGTCCCTTTTAAAGGGTGAATCAATATCTTCGGTTTTAGCACTTATATTCTTACGTTCCCACGTTGGGCGCCACTATTTTTGGCAGTATCGCCAGGTTTTACTATGAATTGCAGAAGAAAAACAACAAAATAACCTCCTTTTTTGTAATGAAAGAAATCCTCATATTATTTGTCTCACATAAGTAATTATATTTTTCTTTGACTACCCTATTAACCTGTACCAAGATTATTTCTACATCAACTTGGAATTTCCTCTCCCAAATGGCATGCTTTTATTCCACAATATTAACGGACTTATTGAAATCATTAGAACTCTTTATATGGGGGGTTTCCCAGTCATTATAGCTTTCCCTAGCCACAATAAATTTGTATACAAAATACATGACATCACAAATAAAATATGATTTAATAAATTTTGATTTGTTTAAATTACACGAAAGGCGGTATGAGCGTAGCCATCATCTCTGCACATCACAAAGAGAAGAATATAAAATGTCGTCGTGTTGATTGTTTAAATTTGAAAGGGAAACTTGACTTGACAATGTTAATCAATTGGCATTGGTTAAGTGCCGCAGTGAATTTTAAAAATGACATCATATATTTCACTTTTCCTCATTTGATTTATGACGGTACGAATGAATGAACCCATGAGGTACCAACAATTGTAGCATTATATTTTTCATATTTTTTGTTTAGATTCACAGACCTATGGTTACAGTGGGGCATAAAAAATATACTTACAATCGATCTATCGATGTCCGTCTATCTGTCCGACTGTTTGGCTGGCGGGTACGATAATGCTCTAATGTCCACATCTTTTGCATTATCATTACTGAAAAAAACTGCAACCACCTTCATACTATTGTCATTTCTAAGCCACTCGACCGACAGCTGTTAAAATTATTCCAGTGACAGCTCATTATATTGTCTACAAGCATACAAAAGCATTTTGGTGAGAATTTTCCCAAAAAAAAGTAAATCGTTATGGAATTCAAGCGTGATAGTGTGATTTCTTTATATTTGGCTGGAAAATCACACGTGGCTATCGTTAGAGCACCCCAGCATTTAAATGTGAATAAAGAAATTGTGTCTCTTACCATCGTTCGTTACCGTGATACTGGTAGCGTAGCCCAACGTCAAGGATGTGGACGGAAACAGCAACATCAGCAGATACGGTTCGAAAAGTAAAAAAGCGACTTGATCGAAACCGGCGTGGCAGTGGCCGAAAAAAAA